TAATAAAATAATAATAATAATTATTATTATTAAAAATATTTAAAGAGAGACTTAACTGTTTAAGGACCACTTTTCCAATTTTTCTAATCCCCGTATTAATTGCCTCATAGATTCTAAACAAGGAGAAGTGATGTTATCGCTATTTATCAATCTCGATACTCTGCGTGCAAAGAGCCTTGATACGATTTTACTTTTTTGTTGTAAAGAATTCATTATGTCGTCCCAATTCTTTGTGTTTGTACCGCATAATTGAACGTGAAACAGGATGAAAATAAGAACGAAACAGGATACTACCTGACTCGACATGGCCAATACACGTGAAGAAAGTGCAGCGACACCAACAACACAACTCCGTTTTTAAACTTTTAAAAAAGTCGGTGACGTCAAAATAACATTTAAATTCTATTGGAGAAAAGTTTTTCCACCCCCCATTTCAATTTTTATATAAATTTTTATAAACGTCATACGGGATTAACGACACGTGATTTAATCAGATATTTTGAATATTTAGTTCACATTGTTGTTTCTATTATAGAATTATACGTTAACTAAATCTCGTTTATTTATAATTATGTTAATTATTTTAAAATTCTAATAAATAATTAAATTGCTGCTATCTTCACCCTTAGGACATAAAGTGAAATAGGTCATATATGAGATTCTTTGATAAATCAGGGAGATGATTACAAAATAATTGGTATAGATTAGAGAATTTTTATGGTTTTGTGCTTAAGAATGAAGTTTATAAATCTTTCGCAAGAGTGTAAATGATTTATCCATTACTAAAAGCCATAACGTAGCACATAATATTCTTCTTATTAATCAACATATTTAGGTCAAAGGACTTCTAAGTTTTACTGTAACAAACCTGTTATTTCGAACAGGAAGTGAAAGGAACTTCCTTGATTTTCATCGGTAAGAGTGAAAGCATTGAGAATTATTGATCCAAATTTAAGTAATTTTAATATAATTAAATCTTATTTTAGTTTTGTTAATTATTTACAAATATAATTAATTTAGTTTCTTTTGGTAATTAGTTTTAAAAGAATAAAGTAAGAGTAATTAGAATTATCTTATTTTATTTACATAGAAATAATGAGGAAGAATGTAAGTTTACGTCATAATAGAGTAATGATGTTTATGTAAATGGCAGAAATATCCGGAAGCTGTAAAATTTATTTATGATTTTACAGTGTTATAAACACCTTGTTGTATTTTATGTGTTTTTTTTATTTTGTTTAACCCATTAAATTCTGTAAATATCATATTATTAGTTACACTATGTTTGTAGTAGATACTATCATCTTCATTTGTTCATTACATAGTTATTTCTCTTTTATTTTTGATAATGTATACTCAGTTCCACATTATAAACTTAGTTTTTCTGCCATTCCCACCTCCCCTTCTACTGGGCCTGGTTATATAAGTTTAATAACCAGGTCCAGTAGAAGGGGGGATACAAGCCAAACTAAATCAGGGTGACACAGAGGAATCTCTAAAACTTTTGTTGTTTATGTAATGTGATGAACTTCCCATAAAGGCACTCCTATCAAGCCTCATATACAACTATTATACAGTATACATATAATATATACTGTAAATCCACAATGGGGGTATGGACACTAAGTGAGCCAAAAGTCCCACTCATTTTCACCCTGAAAATTAAACTATTTGCCATCTTATTAATAATATAAAACGAGATTTTATTGTTAAAAAAACTTAACAGATGGAGCCACACACCATATCAACTGTTGCCTGGAAAGTTATGCAACTAGTTGCTGGACTTTTCGTAATAGGAAATTAAAATTTATACTTCAGTTCAATCGAGAATAAACCTTCAAGCGATTTCCAATTTTGAAAATTCGGTGGATATTTTATTATTATTTCTTTTAAGTATCATTTTTTTATGTTCATTAACGCGGTCAAGAACCATAGAAAGCTCTAAACTTACTGATATTTCTTGTACTTTTATCAAAAGATTTAAATAAATTAAAAAAAGACATTATTATCAATCAAGATTCCTGTGAAAGAAAGTAATCTCAGTGTTTAAATCTACCAATAAATATGTCACATTATTCAAGATAAATTTAAGAAAAAAAATAAAGAAAATAAGGAAGATTTTAATCTAGATGATAAGTAGGAAAGAAATAGTTCCTTATTTTCTTAAAACTTTTACTACGACTTTTTATTTTGCAGTTCTGAAGCCATAATTTTACAATTGAAAAAAAAAAAAAAAAAAGTTAAAATCTCTCATTGTATAATAAAATTAAAAGAAAACAATTGTTCTAGTGTTTCCTTAATTTTTATTTCTACGATTTTCTTCTATTTCTTCAGTTTTGTGCATGCTAATTACACTTGTCAGCAATAGTGAGTGGGATCTATCAGAAGTCCAGAATGACCCTATTCATTTATTATTCAGTGTTACCGAAAATCCTCAAAATGGCAAATAGCTGTATTCAGATCTATTCGATAAATGTTAAAAACATATACTGTATATAAAATTTGACTGAAAATAGAAGAGAATTTTCCATAGGAACCTCGCAAAAGGCATTCCCTTCGGCAGATCGCCCATATGTCGCGTTATCGTATACAAATAATCCAATTTAATCCATTACTCATGCCAAAATTTTTCATAGCTAAAATATTTGTTATATCTATTTTATCATCCACGAGAAATTTCTCAGTTAACACAGATAAAATCGGCCTAATTGTTGACATTTTGTATTTTTGGATTACAGCATTCCGGATCAACGGAAATACAGATAAAAAGAATTGTCTTTAATAACATGATAGTACCAATCTTCGGCAGACATTTAAACCACATAAAATTGACTGTGGAAGGTGTTTACAGAGTTATTTGTGTATGTATGAGCGAGCGTCATAATTTTTTAACGCTTGATTCATTTAAAAACAGAAAATGTCTTCCGAGAAGTTGCTCTGAAGGTCTTCCTAATTGCCATGATCGCTGTTTCAAAACTTCTCCCGCTCTGCGGTCGTCAGAATGATTTTCAAACAGTTTCATGGGCGTTCTCGGGAAATTTTCCATAGAAGGAGGCAAATAATTATCAACAAATTTTTATTTTATTATTTAATTTTTTAGGGTTTTCACAAGTAAATTATAGAATACAGTTCTTCATCAAAGAGTTTTATGGTCGAGGATATCTCAATCATTTTTACTACTATAATTTGTGGTATTTTTTATTCAATCCCAGGAAGGGGCAAGTGTCCCATATGAATAAAGTCATCGTGGGTTCGATTGAGAATGGAATGGCCACGTAGTGAAGAAGAGGGCTCCATTAAAATCCATAATGAAGCGAATGATGAAGAGAACAGAAAAACTAGGTGAGTCAACTCGCGCCTAACCGCGCGATTTTGACTCACCCAGTGATGCCAACTTAGGGGTTCTCATCTTAAATTTAGGGATCAAAAGTAAAGTCTGCCCATATTGATTAGTGGAGTTTCAGCAACGAGTAGGATCCTCCGAAAGTCACATGCCTAATGACTGTTCTCGCAGCGAGATCTGGAACAAATCGCTTCATTGTTCGCATGATACTTTTGCTCAACTGTGCCCATGCCGCCTGTGCCATAAAGCGGAAATTTGTGTTTATCTGGATTGTCAAAAGACTAATATTTTTTCGATATTCATTGAACCTGGAGTAAAAGTATTTAGGAGGAACTTGTTTCAGTTTTTAGGGAAACTCTGTTAGTTTTAGATAGAATTTTTAAGTTTATTTAGGAGGTTTTTACGACAGAATGTTGTCAACACTGCCCTCATCACCCGGCCGCCCATCGCGGTCCTGGCTGAATCCATAATGGCTTGCTGAAAAGAATTTTTTTAGTGCCATTGAGCGAAAAGTTTTAAAAAATCTGATTTTAAAATGTATTTAATTTATATCCCTAAAGACAATCAAATATACTTGTACCATTTTCAGAAAGGCCAATCTTCTTAATATCTTGTCACGTTATTATTCAACTGGAAAGATATGTTTTTATAATTAAGTTATATCTTTTTATCGATAGAATTATTTAAATTGCAAATCAGCCATTTTTTCCTATCTCACGAGGAAAATAAGTAAAAAAAAAGGAAAATATTAAAAAAAAATTAAAAATAAAAATTATCGTTCCATCTTTATATATTTGTAAAATAATGATAATCTTTAACATTAAAATAACAATTTCCTTCATGTTTTGAATGTTTATTTTTACTTTTCCAGATGATATATATATAATAGGGAAAAAGTATGGCGATCCTCTGTGAAAAATGATCGCCCCTCCAAGATTTTTATGTTTTGAACTCAAGGGACCTTAGAGTTTGTGGGCATTAATGCTACTAAAGGTCGTAGGAGGTAGATGTAGGGATCACGTGTCCAGTGGCACACTCAAGATTTAATCTCAGGGGAGCCGAGTTGAATAGATAAAAAAATTTTTAATGCGGATTCAGTGTTTTTTCCTTTTACTTTGGGGGTGCCAGGGCTCATGGTACACCCCGAATGTGCCACTGCCTGTGCGGTATTTCGAGTGGGGTAAAGATTGTACTCGTTATTAGCATTTAATTTTTTTAAATAAAACGTCATTGAATATTAATTAAATAAGAATTTATTTTGAATCTAAAATTAATTTTAGATTTTTTTTTTTAAGTTTTTAAAAATAAAACGCTTTATAAATTGTCACTAGAGGGAGTCGATTGTTTACAACATGGCGCCGTCCGTGTTGAATATCAATGTGGGTGTTCTTGGCCACATAGACAGTGGAAAAACGACTTTAGCTAAAGCTTTAAGTACGATAGCCAGCACGGCGTCTTTTGATAAGAATCCACAAAGTCAAGAACGAGGAATTACTATCGATTTAGGTTTTTCGTCGTTTTGTGCACCTTTACCGCAACATCTTCGTTCTCAATTCGATACTCTCCAGTTTACTCTAGTGGATTGTCCTGGGCATGCGTCTCTTATTAGAACTATTATTGGAGGTTATTTAATTATTTAATGTAAGGGTGGTCCAAAAGTCAGTTAACCATATTTTTAAAAATGAATGTGGGGCTATGGGTTTTTGTTTTACAGAATTAGTACAGTTGGTTAGAAAATAAGGTAACAATTTGGTCTTTACAATGGTTAATTGAGTTTTGGACCGTTGTATAATATATGAGTGCAATTATTCAACTTTCCGGAATTTTAGTAATGGAAATGGAACTAAGGAATATGTTATGTTGTGTTGCGTTTTATTCTCTAGGTATTGCACGCCGACACTCCTCTCTTTATTTCGGCAGTGATGCTATGTTTGCAGAATAGAAGTCATTTGGCTTCGGCATGCTCAGTGGATCTCGTGTCTCCCGAGAGGGGAGATTCCGTTGTGATTAGTGAAATTCCCGAGGCTTCTTTTAAAAGGCCAAACTGGTGATAATTTCATGGTGAGGTATCTGGACTCAGGGCTAGGTAATCCAGGATTTCCCAAGTCATTTCCAAAGACTGGTGTTATAGCTTAAACAATGGATGAACTATCAGCACACAGATAGAAATACCTAGGAAAAGAAATGTAAATTGGGATTAAATGATACATACAGTTCCATTGCCATTACTGAAATCTTGGAAAGAAATTCAACTGCTCTTGTAAAATATTTGTAGATTTAACTATTTGGCATGTGTAGTTATGATGTTATTAGTTTACATGAAGTCCACATTAATGTAAAGTAGATTTATAGTCCTTTTGATGAGGGGATAGACGTTTCAATGTTAATGAGTTCGTTAATACAAAATGCCAATTTTAAGTCCTTTTTGACTATCTACTCTATTATTTTTGTCATCAATTCTTAGATAACCAACAAGAATAGCAACTGCTAATGTCACTCTTGAATTGTCACTTATCCATATTTCCTACCAAGGCAAGGCTAATTTAAAAATCGGTAATAGAAAAAAGAAAATGTAATTCACTAATTTACCATGGAAGAAGAGTCTGACCACATTTAAAGATTAAAATCGTCAGACTGTTCTGTAACTACTAGACTAAAGATAATCTGTATTTGTAAACATTAAATTGTTGCCATTATTCTTACTTATTAGAATTCTTAAAAATGTTCACAAACTTTTTCATAGGCACGATTTAATGCATGATCTTTGTACATAATATGAAGCATTTTCAGAGAAAAATCATTCGATGCCTCTCCTACTTTCATCACATAGGGTGCTGCATCTGTTATAAAATAAAGCACTCTCATATTAGATCTGTGTTGGACAGAAAATATTCATTGCATTGTTAATTGTTTTTGGCAATGGTTGAATGATTAGTTTGCTCAACAAATGCTGTATGGATTTAAAATGTTTATTATTGTTTGCTTCATATATCGTAGAATCCATTATCATTTTGGTGATTGGCTATTCTATCCAATTTTCACTAATTTGTCAATGGTTTGTCACAGAAGACAATTCTTACTTCTTATAATATCCTTTATTGAAATCAATAAGATGGAAAAACAATTGTAAAATTGACTGGAGGGACTAAAACAGTCTGAAATGCATTTCAATTTCAATAAAGGATATAAAAAGTAAGAATTATCTTCTGTGTCAAACTGTTGTGACAAATCTAGTGAAAATTGGGTAGAATAGCCAATTACCAAAATGATAAAAATGTTTATTCATCTGCTTAAAGTCAATTCATCAGGTATTTCCCTCACAGTATTTTTATAGGAATCCTTTAAATTCTTTGTTTTTTAGTTTACAAACGGGGAAGTCGGCATTGATTGTAGCAGCACATAAATCTCTTAAAAACGGAGACTTTGTTGGTCCTGGTTTATTCTGTCAGCATTTTAAATTGTTTACCTATCTTTTCAGTGTAACGCAGGTAGAGAGGTGCTGAGTAACTCATGACTGTTTCTCCCACAAATAAAACAGCTGACTAATAACTGAACGTAACATAGTTACTAACTTAAGCATTTAATTACTGGACTCAAACCTTGATTACTCAGATTTGAGTTCAGGTCAGGAGCATTAGGAATCTTTAATGGTCTATTTGTCCTGTCTCTCACCCCAGATATGTCTTTAGTGGGCTCCACCATGGACAGGAAAGGTGTGCTAAGTGTTGTTATATAATATCTACATCATTCTTTAAACAATTTTTTTACATTTTGCAGTCACGTTTTAGTGAAATGAGATAATGATAAAATTTTATAGAATTATTCTTATGGAAGTGAAAAATATACTTCAGTTTGTTGACATATTTTATTCTTTTGCATTAATTTAGCATTTACTAATTTCAGTTTTAAATTTCAGGTGCCCAGATAATTGATTTAATGATGTTGATTGTGGATATAACGAAAGGAATGCAGACGCAAACTGCAGAATGCTTAGTAATAGGCGAAATTACTTGTAATAAAATGATTGTAGTGCTTAACAAATTAGATTTAATAGCAGTAGAGAAAAGAAAGTCTGTTATTGAAAAGGTAATGCTGATTATTATTTTTTAAAACTTTACAATTTTCGTATAATTTCTTTTTTTACTGTATTTAAGATGACGAAGAAAATTCAGAAAGTTTTGGAGAAAACTACATTTGAGAACGTTCCTGTGGTTGCAGTTGCTGCAAAACCTGGTGGAACCGAAGTATAAAAATTCTTGTTAATAAATTGTATTCTTAAATTTTAAGTCTTTCCGAATTTTTATTTTCTTTTCAATTTTATATACAGAATTGAATGATTTGTAAAGTTACTGCTTCATTAGATCATTCAGTCAATAACATACAACTTTGTACAGTAGCAAAAAGCTTTATTAAACTGGAAAAAACTAACATCAAAACTAACTATATTTAATAATCTTCAGTAGAGGTTGTATATAGTTGATTGAATAAAAGAATATATTAACAATATATAAACTGCATTAAACATGTAATTTATCATCATCATTCTTAGGCAAAGTGACCTCTTTTGAGTTTTTGCTATCTTCTTCCTCTTCCTTTGATTTGTTGGATGATAAAGATGATGATTCTGATATCTTTGGGATTCTGTTTCCGTCATTTTAACACGATTATATAATTTTTCTCTGTCCTTATTTAATAATAATTGGTTAATTAATATTGGAACAATTTTGATATTCTTTTTTACTTTATTGTTTAGAATTTTGATCCTAAACAACAAAGATGGGACCCAATGTAGATTCACCTATTTATCAGCAAATTTTGATACAAAATATACAACTCTTTTGTCTAGAGGTGGACATTTATGCTGCTATCTCATACTTTGGCTGTTTATTTAACTATAAATCTGGCTTTTGAGTTAATGCTCACACACACACACACACACAAATATTTTGCTTATCAAACTTTAAATTTGATGATTTGAATTACCAATAACAAATTTGTACTATAAAATTGAAAGAGATAGTAAAAATGTCAATAGAAACAGGAAATTATGTCATTTTTCTGTTGGAGTTTACAGAATCTTCAATGGGAATGAAATTAAAGTCTTAACTTTCCTGTTTCTTTTGGACAATAAGAATTTAGAACTAAGGTAGATATGTGATCTGTTCTGTTCAGAATGAGACACTGCTATCTACCATTTTATAGTTCATTATCAGAAAGAAGCAAAGTATAGAAATGTAACATTGTCTTATATTCAATGTGTAATAAGCTTTTTACATGTTACAGAAAGTATTGAGTCATGATTTTGGAACAGCAGTGTTGAACAATTCTAATTTTGTGAAATTTCAGAATAATTTGCAGTTTCGGAAATCCTATTCTCTTCAACCCTTGAGTGTACATAAAGACGATAAATTTAATTGGCCACATACTACATTTCAAAATGGATCATATAATCTCTGTTTGGATAAAACAATTTTTAGTCAAAATAAAGATTGAAAATTAAATATATTTATTAATTTTATAAGTATAAATGGAAAAAAAAAACTATAAATATTTTTATACAGGAAAATTCAGAACCAATAGGAGTGAAAGAACTTATTAATTTATTATGTGAACATGTTTTTGTTCCTAAAAGAAGTGCAGAAGGTCCTTTTATGTTTGCAGTGGATCATTGTTTTTCGATTCGAGGACAAGGAACCGTAATGACGGGCACCGTAATTCAAGGAAGCGTAGCCATTAATAACGTAAGGCTTCATTTAATCTTTTAATTAAAGAATTTTTAAATTTTCAAATAAATATTAATATAAAATTTAAGAAGAGAACATAGATGTTTAGGGTAGAGATTATGTAATTGAAACATTAATATCCGCATGTTGGGAATAAAGTTAATACTGATCAATAGGTTTGATCACAATGTAAATTTAAATAGTCGAATTGGTAGATAGTATCAATGAATCCAATATTGCAGTGGTTCTTAACCTTTTATACTCGCGGCCAGGGCCAGATTAACCCACTTTGAGGACCTAGACATTTTCTTCTTACCGGGCCCCTTCTCTCTCCCACAAGAAATAGAGCACACAAAAAATATGAATTACTTTTAATAAGAAGAAACATAAGAACACATTTTCTTTAGATTTTAGAATTCACCATAACCATATAAAAAGCAATATATTTTTGTTTATTTGGCTATTATATACAGTTGTCCAACAGAAAAGTAAACTATCTTATTTACAAATCTTTTCAAAATAGACAGTTTGACCAGGCCCTTCTAAAAACCGGGCCCTAGACATTTGTCTCATTTGTCTATGCGATGATCCGACCCTGCTCGCGGCCCACCAAATATTTCGTAATTTTTTTGTGACCTCCCCATTTTTTTTAATAATAATTTATATTTGTTAAATTGTCTATAATAAATTGATTTTTTTATTATTGCTTTATTTTTAAAATTCCAAGCATTAATAGTTTCTTAGAATTACTTTGGAGTAAAAGAAGTAAATACTGTGGTGTAAGTAGCATATTTGCATTTACAGTATTTCTTCTGCATGTAGGAAGAAATAAAAAAATAAAAAAACTAAATACAAAAACTTTATCTTTCTTATTTCACTTTTCAATACGATATTCGGTTATACATCAATTTTCTTAATATATTCTGAAGGAAATTTTGCATAATTTGGCTGTCCTCCGCAAACTTATTATGGACGCCCAGGGGGCTACGGCCCCCCTGTTAACAAACACTGCAATATTGGACTCATTGATACTTGGATTACAATGGTGTAAGATTTAAACATTTTTCACTTAGTTTATAACTTTATATAGTATTATTCTGTATCAGTTGGTGTTGTTCAACTTGAAAAATTAATTTAACACTTCCTGATCCCTTACCAGTAATCTCAACTTCAACAGTTCATATGATACTTTCAAGAAAATAATTTTTAATCATGTGAACAGTTTATTTACATTTTTCATAAAATCTTTGTCCTACAGGCATTAAGATGGCCTCTTTCTGAGCCAATCATAGATTAGACTCGGCCCAAAATAACATAAAAACTTCCGAGGCCTCTATACAGACTGAAATCTGAACAGTAAGCCGATGCTTTTGCCACCTTGGCCATCATATAACATCCAAAAACACAAATGAGAACTATCTATTTACTACAGCTGGTTTTAATAATAAATTATATTTTATTATTATTATTTTTTAGAAAAATATTCATATTTTTACAAATAGACTGTAGAAATACCGTCATTGAAGCTAACGAAGAAAGTAAAGAGCATCCAGATGTTTAGAAAACCCGTAGAAAAGGCAATTCAGGTATATTTAAAATTCAGTATTGTTTATTTACTTATTAAATAATCTATATTTCAAAAAACAATGCTTACAGTTAATAAATGTTAATAAAATTATAACACTATTGTCTGAATTTTAACAAATCTGTTCTAGAGAATTAAGTCTAAAAACATTTTTTTAAATAAAACTCCATGAGAGCAACAAGATAAACGTTCTCAAAATGAAATCTCATCTTCCAATGTTTCGTCTTTATCTTTATATGGGGTGATTTTTAAGTCACGCAAAATTTTAATAAGTTTTTAACTATATGAGATAAAAAGAAAATTCAAAAAGCATTATTATACAGAATTTATTGCCATTTAATTAATTAGGTTTTCAAAATGGCTACCTTTGCTTGTAGCAATAATTTTTAATCAATTTTTGAAACATTCAACAATGGTAATAAAGGTCTTTCTTGGAATCGCCATTATTTCTTTTTTTTTATTGTGTCTATCAACACTTCAATAGTTATAGTAGTATTGTGACATACATACTCTGTCTTTAAGATAAATCCAGGTGATTTCTTTTATGGGGCTAAGTAGGGGCTAAAAGGCAACCACTCAATGCCACCACCAACATAATTTTCATAATTTAATCCAATTACTTGCTACTCAAAAGTGTTGTAAAGGCTTTTAAACACTTGCTTTGTGCAATGGGGCCTTGCACCATCTTGCATAAACCAAGCATGATGATGTTTATGCCTAATGGGCATTTTGGGATAAAACTTCTTTTACTTCTTTTTCAATAATTCAACATATGCAGCAAAAATAACATTCTTTTTGAAGAAGAATGGTCCAATAACTACTAAAACACCAATTAGAGAATTAGAATTTTGGTAATAATTTTTTACAATAAAAACAATAGTTTTGCACAATATTCTCCTTTTCCGTATTCTATTTTATTTGATGTAAAACTGAGAGTTGCGTGTTTTTAAAATTACTTTGTTGTTTAGTCATCTCTTTCATATATTAATTTTTGTATGAGAATTTAGTTAAAATAACTCGGAGAGTAAGGCAAATATCTACGACGTGGTTTAGTGCATATTACTGCTAATTTTTCTTTGCTATTTACTTCATTTGGCTACAGCATTACTTGCTAAGTGCAGTTTCAGAGATAAATTATTATTCAGTTGCCTTTAAGTATGTCACTTTAAGGCTGTGCAATGCACTTAAGGTACAAAAGTGCATTATTCTTGTGGGATATGTGTGATTCCAACTAATTGAACTTGTCTTTTGAACAGAATGACTCCAATACAAAATAAAATTAAAAAATAATAAAGATTCTTTAACGGAGATAAAGCATCAACAGAAACAGAAAATATCCAAGTGCTTTTTAGTTCTGATGCTTATAAGTCCGAATAAACAATGTTAATTGTAACAGTTTGTACTTTGGAAATAGCTCAGTGGATAAAAATAGTGGAACCTTATCATGTAGAAGTTCTTAAATTGTTAAAAATTAAATAAAAATTTTAAATTTAATTTTAGACTCTGTTGCAGTGATAATTGAACGTTGTATCGATGCATTCCTGAAGATGAGTCTCTCTCTCCACTCTCAAAAACGCTTGGCTTTTAAGCAACTTTCTGTGTTTTTATTATATTTTGTTGAATTCTTTTTGTCTATTAAAGAGCATCTTTAGAGTATTTCTTCACTAAAATGTGCTCCAAGAATTTAATTTTTACATTTTTTTTATCGGTTAGAAATTTAAAAATATAACATGCAACAAAGAGCAAAAGTTTTTTAATTTAACAAACGTTTTTAAATATCAAACACTTAATTTCTATTTTTATTTAGGGAGACAGAATTGGAATGTGTGTAACACAGTTCGATCCAAAACAATTAGAACGTGGGATAGTGTGCACGCCCGGTCACTTGTCTTTAACTCATGCAGTTGTAGCAGTGGTAGAGAAAATTCCTTATTATAAAGGAACTTGTGCAACTAAAGCCAAATTTCACGTCACAATCTTGCACGACACAGTCATGGCAAAAACGACATTTTTTGGTCTCCATGAACCGGGTGCAGACACTCCGAAAGTTGACCTTAAATTTCTTTCCTCTCTTGATTTTCAGAGAGAATACACTTATCAAAGTGAGCTATATTCAAATAGTTCTCATTTAAAAATAGATAAAGACGAAGAAAATCCTGGATTGACGCCTTCGATTCAGTTTGCATTACTCGAATTCGAAAAACCGGTCATCCTCAGCAAGAAGTGCTTACTGATCGGTTCCAAGCTAGATACAGACATCCACGCTAATGTGTGCCGACTCACATTTTATGGCTACGTTTTGGAGATATTTGGTACCAAACAGATAGCGGATGCAATTTTACCTACGCTAAAAGTATACAAGACGAAAGAGAAAAAGGGTTTTGTGGAAAGAATGGTTAACGACTATGAAGTCATCGGACGATCTTTATTCAAAAAAGAAACAAACATTCAGAATTTTGTGGGTTTAAAAGTTTCTCTGTCGACCGGCGAAGAGGGAGCAATTGAAGGAGGCTTCGGACAGAGTGGAAAAGTGAAAATTAGAATACCGGGTGAGCCGAAAAGTAAAATTATCTGACAAATAATAATTCAATTGTATTTTAAATTTTTTGTCATTTTATATATTTTATTCTAGCCGGACTGAAAAGTACAACTGCCGCATTATTGTCTACCAATAAGAAGAAAAGTAAAGAAACCGGTTCGAATAAAGAAACCGAATCCGAACAAGTACAAATCATCTTGACATTTAAACGGTACGTGTACGATCCTCAGAAGAAAATGATTCAAACTTCTTAGAAAACAATTCTGGTAAAACTGAGAATTTAAGAAATAACTATAAAAAAGTTTTCAACATTATCACTAGATTAAAATTGGATACAAATTTCTCTAAAAGAAATTATTAAAATGCCAAAATGTAATTTGATATATAAAAATTGTTGAGCCAAATTAAAAAAAAAATTATATGCTGTAATGCAGTGTTTTTCAACTGCCAGTCACAGAAAAATATTTGACTGTAGCAACACTGGCACAGTTGATTAGGATGACATTTACATAATAGTTTAGAGTTACTTATTGTACGTAACATACAGTAACTCTACATAAGCATAATTCTACACGTAAAACAGATAATTTTACCAGTCTGCGACGAGAAAAAGGTCGAGAAACTATGCTCTAACGGGACAGGTCGACATTTTGAATTCCAATGAAACATGTACTGTACATACTAATTTGATTATTAATAGTTGTATATACAATTAACAATAATCAAATAAAATATAGATATATTATTGTTGAACTTTTAATATATGGAATTTTAATATATGTTTTTACTTATGTAATTAAAATTACGAGAAGTTAATTTCACAAGAATGTTTTCTGTATGTATTATTGTTTATGTACTTGCTGTAGTTTGGAGATAAACAAGTATATAATCTAAACCGAAATAAAATTGTATTTTCCAAAAAATATCTGTTAATTGTATTTAATTAAGAGCAACGACTTTTGAATTTGAAAAAAAAAAATAACCTGTTAATTTAATTACATATAAAAAGAATATGAATTTAAAATTAATGGGGTTATTTCCACCTTTGACGTACAGGTTGGAAATTTTTTCTGTAAAATCAAGGTTTTACTGTATTTTCTGTTAGATAATATTATGACGACAAAAACAAAAACCTGAATAATGAATTATTTCTTGGGTATTAATNAGAGTGATAGATCTTTATAAGTTTATTCCTGACTTTGGCATTCTAACATGTCTTTTGGAATAATATCTATCACTCTCAAACTATACTAAGGCTTAAAAATATTTACAGTAACTAATATTTGAGTGTAAATAATTATTGTTTTGACAAGAAAACGAGGTAGATGACACTTAAGTAATATAATGTAAATAGAAGAAAAGTTTGAAAGGACTGTGAATTTATTATTATTATATTGAATTGTAATGTTAATCACGTGACTATAATTTAAGATTTTACTTGTGTTTTGGAGAATTTTGAGAATAATTTATTAATTGTATCATTCTTGATGATAAAGTTTGATTTTTTAAATTCAAAAATTATTTAAAATTAATAACTAAACTACAAAATTTGTTTGTTGTTAATTGATACCAAATGGTTTAAATATTTATTTTTATTTAATGTATGTGTTTCGGCTCTTGTTGTTTTAGCAAATTCTGGAATGAAATATTCTTGTTCACGTTCCTTATTAGTTGGTAACTTTATGGTATTCCAAACTAGGGTTGTTAATAATTTTCTTTTAGCTTATTGAAAACCATTATTAAATCATTATCATTAAACTTATGGGCCTTAACTGGAATTATTTTTAGGCCCATAACTATCAATTAATTATTTTAACTTCAATGTATTCTCTTACTGTCTCATTCTTTTATCATATTACTTACTAGATAAAATTCAAAATCATATCTAAGCAGCAGCCTATTACGACAAATCAAAAATTATTTGAATGAATTGTTGATAACGTATCCGATATAAATGAAGTGAGAGATTGCTTTCTATTGTTGATTTTTGATATGACTGTTAGGAGCTCTTATGTAGTAATTGTCAGGGAAAAATTTCTGTTTGAAAATGCTTGCATATCTCTGTTTTTTTTTTTTTTTTTTTGAAACAAACTTTGATTTAGTATTTTTTTGGACTAGTTTGAGTCACTATTTGTTCGTCTCTGAAATTGGTGCTAAGTTGGAGTACCTCTCATTTGAGATCATTCTCATTGCTAAAAGGGAAATTTTGTCGTGTGAGGCTTGTATTTGGATTTGCAATGCCATTGAATTTCATCTTCTCTCTCAACTTTTTTTTAAAAAGTTTATCTTTCTTTTTATTTATATATTATCGTACAAACCTGTCCATTGCATTTTATAGAAAAATTAGAGAAAGCCTCACAAATTTCTTTTGAATGACTAAAAGTTTGCTAAAATAAACATATCTGTGACATCACTACTTACAGACCAATTGTCACAAAACACACCATGACACATTTTACATTCAGTTATTTCCATTTTAGAAATGATACATAATAAAACAGTTTAATTAAGAACACAAAATATATATACTAATAATTTAGTTAATCCCAACAATGTTTTAAATATTTTTTCAAAATATTCACATCTTATATTTCAAAGAAGTGTTGAAAGTACACAAGTTAGTCATGACATTTATGCTATTCATATTAAAATATATATGTAATGAACATGAAAAACTTTTCTGTACAATATGAGGCAGATTCAATAAATAAGGTTAGTAGCACTGTTAATGAAAATTAACATTGTTATTAATCTCACTATACTGTGTTAATACTGTGAAAGAGTATACAGTAATGCAGAGCTGTACCAATAGTTCTCTCTGCCAGATGACATTTGCATCCACTATGTGGTTTACAAAAGGGCTTTGTCCATATCAAACTGCATCAGAATCGCAGTGACTTGTAATTCGATTTTTGACAGCCAAAGACATTAGCCCTAGTGAGACCTACTGCAGGATATATGCAACAATATGGAGTGTTGTGCATGTTGCTACAAAAAGCTTGAGTTCAAAAACCTATATGGCTTATTGTCTGTTTGTTCAGCCTTGAACTTTTGAACCCATTTGCAAGCTTTTTGCAACAATATACATGACTGTCTATATTGTGCTTACAACCTGAAATGGATCTCATTAATTTGTAAGTGTCATATTAGCCTTCGGCTGTCAAAAATTGAATAACAACTTGCTGTTCAATTCTATGCAGTTTAATATGGGGAACATTTTTGCAAACCTTGTAGTGCATATAATTTTCAGGGCTATATTACTGTATATTCTCACTATAACTAGTCTCAACCTATCATGCTGTTACTTTTCTTTAGCAGTGCTACTAACCTTAAACGTATGTGGAAATTATCCAGAAAAATAACCTCCACTAAGACTTTAATAATCTAAGTTCCATTTTATGGTCTTCTAATCAGTAGACAAAGATCAATTTGTTCAAAACACTAATCACACTTGTTATAGCAGCAATGCATTTTGGGTTTGAAAAAAATCATTCCCTCTTCAGTCTACAATGTACACAGCTGACATTAACAACTACAATATAAAACACAGGGCTGATACAATT